GTTTTCTTCAGATCACAATCAACCCTATTTGCAAAATAATTACATAACTGTCAAGAAAGAAATACTTCGTACACAAAGTACGACATACTAGTCACACAGTAGTTACGTTATTGCATAATTATTGCTCATGTGAGATCAATGATCGGACTAAACACGCAATCGAGTTACAATATTTGCACTATAATGATAAACCAACTCAGGATGGAGTGGTACAGTGATCGAGGTCTGCAGTCAGGCTTGCAGGCGTTGGCCTACTAGACAAGCCCCCTTCAGCTATTGCTCTCGAGCTGGGCGTCGCTCCGTTCACAGCGGCCATAGAGACCGCACGTACTCTAGAAAGTTTGAGAACACTCAACGCTCATAGGCGCAGACCATGATATTGCTCCGCCGTTCATAAAAACGCACAATGTAATTACCCTCAACCGTTGCACTCACTGGAATCAACATTGATTATAAACAAAACAGTGTTTACAAATTAGTACTTGAGGATTAATTAAGGGACATAACCTAGTTAAAGTAGACATGATGAACTGTGAACTCAAAGGGACTATATTTTTATTGCTGTGGATGCATGCTGAGGCCCTGTCTCACGGACGTGACTTGCAACGGACTTGCAACGCATTTGTATGCAATAGAAGCCAACCAGCGGCCATTTTACCGAGCCAAATTTCTTCTATTGACGTAAGGGAGGACAAAGGCGGGCATTGCCGGGCAAGCTTTGTATTTGGCTCGGTAAAATGGCCGCTAGTGGATTCAGAGACCTCTATCAGCTTAATAAGGGCATTGCGAGTCCGGATGTTTTTATACGCCCGTGCCCTGTCCACGCAAGGAACTTGACAAAGTGACTTGCGGGGTGCATAATTAATTAGCTCCCACCTCATCAGGGCGTAGAGGAAAACTACAAGCCACTACATTGCCACGTGACATGAGTTTGTGAAACATACGCATAACTGAGATGTCATTACTCATCACGAAGATTTTGGTTCAAACCACACTCTCCCCCCAGCTGGGCCAACCTATGCTCCACTAGGCAAGCGCAATAATGCACGTAAAGACACACATATGATATAAGTAAATCTGTAAGTTCCAATTCAATCTAACAAAAATGTTTCATGGTCATTTCAGTTTGCGACACATGTCGGCCCACGTGCATGCAGGTCAGTGGAAAAGATGACATTCTTGGGGGACTGACTCGCGTCACGTCCGGGGGGGGGGCACGAATGTTGGAAGGGTGGCCGGTCTTGATGATAGTTCGAAAGATGGCAATCCTACTTTTGAAAGGTGGGGTCATTTCTTAAAAAATAATTTTATTGTAACTGCCCTCATTACTTTCTGTCGAGTTGTTGATTAGCTGGTGTCAGACTGTTTGCCCGTCGCGCTCAATTACCCACCAAAACCGACGGCGCAATTATCTTTCCACTAGCTGAGCCCCGCGCGCCTCTCCGATCCCCAATGCGCTGACCTCTGCACATCATGCAGCTCGTATTTCCGACAGTCGGGGACTCATTAGCGCGGCCTACTGTCAACAGGGACGTACGCCCGGACACCATCAGTGCCGACTGCAACTTCGCTCAATCAGTATCCATGGAAACTTGGATTCGGCTTTAGATTCTGGGCAAGGAAGGTCGCGTAAACCTTACCACTAGCCAATCTTCCTCGCACAGGTGATATCGAACAATGAGAGACTTCAAAAAAATCAACAGTTCTTAATGTTAGGGACAGATATCTTGATTAGGTGGTTTTGGAGATAGGCTCACCTATATTTGAAGGACAGAACAGTGACGGTGTAGTAAGGAGCACTCCAATGAGGCATTTATACGCACCCGAATCACGCATGGAAAGCCATATAGGCTGATGACTTCATGAAAGTCTAACCGACGACGTGCTTTCTGCCAGTGCGACACATTGGAAGGTAAGACAATGTTGCATTAGACAGCAAAAGAGTTTCAATACTGTCCCTGCTGATATAATACATTGCAAAATCAGGTTTCGGGTTGGCAGTCAGTATTTGAATCGCGACTGACCTATTAAGGTTTTCCCAGCCAATTCTGGGAAAATGTGTGTATGGATTAGTAACGGCAGCTTTCGTTTTCGAGCAAAATGGAACGAACATTCAAATCCCCGTTTCTATTTGACAAATACAAATTCTATTTCAACGAGGGTGCATTCAGTCGTAAAAAGTCAGCGCTCAATTTCCTGATATTGCACTGGTTTAGTGTATTGACATTCATTTTTGCGCGAAATCGAATGCACCTCTGCAATCCTATATTCTCATTGAACTCAATCTAAAATGCGCAGGCAATTTCGCGCGAAGTGTTATTTAAGGTATATGCCTGGTCAAGAATGTGAATTTGTTTGTACGCTAACAGAAGTTGTATTCTTGTTTGAATATTCATGACTGAAATAGACCATTCATGTTGTCTTTAAAAACATACCAACTATTGTAGGAATCCTATACAAACACCGACGCTGAAGTAACCTTTCCTTCTCGTGCTATGTTTTTACCACAACCACATAAAAGTTCACGCATGGCCTTCTTGCAATGGCTGAACGGGAAGAAACAGAAAAATCACAGACTTTAATTGGTACACAGTTTGATAACAATTAACACCATAATTCTTTCTGAGTAACATTACATGCATTATCAAAGTAGTGTCATGATATCTGTAACCCTGTATATTTCGAATCAAATTGAACGCAAATTTTGTAAATTTTAATAACAGTAAATGAAAATGAATACTCAATACCGATCACGGTTTAATTATGAAAGACAGATTTTGGGTGAATAAGATTGCATATTGGTTACAATTGGCAACGAACACGTCAAATAGAAATCCTAATCATTTGGTACCCTCTTATGAAATGAAACGTAATGCAGATTCATTCATTGGAAGGATGCACAACGAAGTCGAATGCTCGTATTGCAAAAATGAAACCAGGTTTTTAAGTCATTTTCATAATTCACAC